AGAGCAGAGACAAAAAGACTACCCAGGAGCCTGACGGATGGCCAGAGCACTCCGGGAGGAAAGCAGGTGGCCGCCAGGATGGCAGCTTCTCAGATGGGGAGAGCTGGGCTGCACCCTCCCTCCCTGGTCATCCAGACAGCTAAGGTTACCTCCTCCTCCCAACGTGCTGTGGCCTATACCTCATTTTCCTCACTTACATTTGCTTTGGTCTCTTCTGAACACTGAGGTGGTGAGCGAACTTGCCCCAAGGTTAAAGATACACAATTAAAGATCCCACCAAAGCTTTCAGACTGCTCTCTGGGCCTCAGGGTCACAACAACCATCATTCGGTGCACATCCACACCAAAATGAGCAACATGAACTCCTGCTAGCGAGGACAAAGGAGGCACAATTCTCCTAAACCAGATACAAATCTGCCTCTATGTCAGGAAACAATTCCTAAAACAAGAAAGGAGCCGCATTCCTGAAATGTAGACCCTCTAAAACATTTTAAACCATCTCAATTAACATTTAAGTGAAAAAAACGTTTTCAAAGGAAAACCAGTCTCCTATTCAACCAATACCTATCATGTTAATCTGAATCAAAACATGTAACACAAATAAAATGAGTGCAAAAACCAGAACACCAAAGCCTATGACTGGCAAGCCAAACACTCCAGTTTCACCTAGCTGAACAAAGTACAAAAGTGAACAGCAAAACTGGTAACAAATGGAAAATACCATGTTTTACCATGTTTATAACCAATACTGTTACTCACCCAACTACAACAGGGCTTACACCTGTTAGTTTTTCACAATGGCATTCCTTTAGGATAGTCCCAATAAGCTGACTCAGCTAACTTAGGGACTTCTGGAAATCAAAGATAGATAAAAGAGCCCCACATTGAGCCTCCAAATAGGCCATGGCCTAAAACTGTTTCTGCCTCCTATATACTCAAGGGGTGTGACACACTCTCATAAAAACAGAAGTGTACCATGCAGAGTCTTGAGTACTGAAAGTTCCTACTGGCTGTGGTGGCTCACACCTGTAATCACAGCACTTTAGAAGGCCGAGGTGGAAGTATCACTTGAATCCAGGAGTTTGAAACCAGCCTGGGCAACATAGTGAGACCCCATCATTATAAAAAATAAATAAACAGAAAATTAGCCAGGCATGATGGGGCATACCCATAGTCCCAGCTACTTGGTAGGCTAAGATGGGAGGATTGCTTGAGCCCAGGAGGTTGAGGCTGAAGGTTGAGGCTGCACTGAGCTGTGATCACACCACTGCACTCCAGCCTGGGCAACGGAGCAAGACTCTGTCTCAAAAAAAAAAAAAAAAAAAAAAAAAAAAAAAATAGAAAAGGGAGCTGGTCAGGAGAGGAGCCTGGATGGTTCTCATTTATGAGCCCAGCCCTACTCCCAGGAGGCATGCAGACCTTACTCATACAGAATCAGGCCGGGGGCGGTGGTTCACACCTGTAATCCCAGCACTTTGGGAGGCCGAGGTGGGTGGATCACCCGAGGTGGGGAGTTCGAGACCAGCCTGACCAACATGGAGAAACCCCGTCTCCACTAAAAATACAAAATTAGCTGGGCATGGTGGCGTATGCCTATAATCCCGGCTACTCGGGAAGCTGAGGCAGGATAATTGCTTGAGGCACAGGTTGCGGTGAGCCGAGATGGCGCCATGGCACTCTAGCAGTGGACAACAAGAGCGAAACTCCATCTCAAAAAAAAAAAAAAAAGAATCAAAGAATCTCTGTCAAATGGACAGCCATCAGCCATTTTGAGAGAGCACTAAGGAAGGCTGATCTAAGGTGTATACCTTATTCTGGTCCTTTTGCTATCTTTTCTGGCAGTTCATTCTCATCCCAAATCTCAACCTTTCCTGCTTCCATTTAAACTTCTTTCTTTTTTGTCCCTATTAAAATCAAGAGCAAGTTGTTATCATACTCCTTGGAATAACTACTCCTCAAATGATGAATCTATTCAGTCTGGACAAGAAATCAGTCACCAAAACTATATTCAATTTATTTTCTAAGTTCTATTTTTGTGCCTCTAATGATTTTTGGTCTAATTCCTGAGCTTTTCCAATTTCTCCACTTCCCTTGTTGACCAGAAGACCTAAACAGCACAGAGACTCTAGTAAGAACCTGACCTATGTTGACCTCAATGGAAGGATGCTATTCTATCTAGGACTGACAACTTCTCCAATCCATCTTCTTGGCTTTCGCTGAATCCCATCAGGATCCTGCTACCTGCAAACCTTAAAAAAGCTCTCCCATTAAAAAGGGAGATTTTAAATTGCTATAACAGGTTTCAACCTGCCGTCCCTTTCCTGAAGGTGGTCTTTCCTGAAGGTGGTCTGATGGGTAGTCCAACACAGATGTCTGGCCCCAAACTCACCTTCCCAACTGTTGATCACAGCATTGTAGAGGTTTAATGAAGTCAAGATGCATTACATTTATCACTTGCCCTAGATCCACTCAAATCCATCACTATGTCACAGCAAGAAGTTAGATTGATCTGACAGGATTTGCTCTTCTTCACAAACCCATGTAAGTTATTACTCAGTGCCCCACACTCTTCTAGCTGTTTGCTGATTGATTATCTGACGATCAGGTCAAGTATCTTCTCTGGAATCACAGTAAACTAACGGGTCTATAATTTACAAGATCATTCGTATTCTCCTTTTAAAGATAAGCAAGACAGAAAATGCTTCTTCCTGAGTTCTCTGAAGCAACAGCTAATGCTTTGCTAATAATGAACCAGGGCAGTCAATTCCTTAAGTGCCCTTGGAATCACATCATCAGGGTTCATTGATTCTGGAGATAATCTTTAATCAGGCCCAGATCCTGGTCAACAATGTGAAGCCCTAACTCAGCCTGGGTCTGGAAGGTCTTGGTGCCTAAGTCTGGGAAGGAAGTTGGTGACACAAGCTGTTTAAATCTGTACTGCATGATGTCTTCAGCATTGTGATAAATAAATAAATAAGTAAAAATAAAGCCCTTGAAAGAGAGATGAAAGGAGACATTGACAGACCAAACTGAGACATGATTCAGGCTTCACCTTCAGGAATATTGGCAGGACCCTCTGCAGGACAAGAAAACAGAGCTACATAATTATCTGAGCTTATAATCTAATCGATAAGGTAAGAAAATACACATATATAAGCATATGCCAGAAAGCAGTAAATGCCATAACAGAGGTGCCAAGTGATTATGAGGGATCAGAAGAGGGATGAATCCTATGTGACAGAGATGTGTTAGATTTTAGTCTCATGTCCCACTAGGGCTTACCCAGTGACTGAAGTAGAAGAAATAATATGACATATTAAGATTTGGATCCCTGATTCCCAATGTGGGAGAATCTACAAAACCAAAATTCCCAACGTACCACCCAGCTGCCCCCCCACCACACCAGAGAAACTCCAGTAGCTTGGGGAGGCAGGGAAGAAGACTCTACAGTACAGGCAGGAGCAAGAGGCAGAGAAAGTAAGCGTGGCTTGAGTAGCTCCCAAGCTGCACTCCCTTTCACCCAAAGGACCTTCCTTTAGGATATTCTCCTTATCCAGCTCCTGTGTTCCCAGCCCTCAACAGAACTCACTCCAATGCCCCAAAGGCAGACCAATGCATTAAGGGAGTATAGAAAAGAGGAGAGGAGAAAGGGAAAACTAAAGAGGTTGTCATATCTGCTTTATGTAAAATAATCTACCATTCTATCCCTTCCTGAAAAAACCAACCATGACAAATGAACCCAGTTTATCTTTGAATGGACCACACTCCTCCCTACCTTCCAAGTGCCCAATGCTGAGGTCCCCTTCTCTCCCTCCTCCTTACGACTGAAAGTTGTTCCCAGAGCAACATGTCTATGCATCCCCAAATCACAGTCTATAACCTAACCCTGTAGAGAAGAGTTACAGTCCTAGAGCCAGGCATATTCAATACACCAACACTACAATGAACTGCTACATCAGCCCCCAATTATTCCCTCAAAGCAAACACCACATACTTCAATATCACCTGCAGCTAATCCAAGCCTCCTAGTAGCATTAACTTAAAAGCTAAAAGGTCTTTGAACACAGCTGGTGGCTAATGAAAAAAAGCAAGGAAAGAAATTGTCCTTTCCAACAGACCAACAATGGTACTTACTCAGGTTATCTAATGCTGCATAACAAATCATCCCAAAACTTGGGGCTTAAAACGTCAATAATCATTTGTTATCCCTCACAGTTCCTGTGAGTCAGGAATTTGACAATGGCTCAGCTGGCTGGTCTGGCTCAAAGTCTCTCCTAAGGTTGAAGTTACATGTCCACTGGGGCTGCAGTCATCTGAAGGCCTGACCGGGGCTGGTAAATTCACTTCTAAGAGAGCTCATTCTCATGACTGGCAAGTTGGGCACTGGATTTTCGCTAAGAGCCTCAGTTCCTACATACATGTGCCTCTCCACAGGGCTGCTTGAGTGTCCTGGCAGCATGACAGGTGGCTTCCCCCAGACCAAGTGGTCCAAAAGAGCAAAGTGGACTGCAATACTTTTTATAACTTACCCTCAGAAGTCATACATTATCTCTTCCACTGTATTCTATTAGCTCTACAAGGATATCTTTGATTCAGTGCAGGAGGGGAACTACCAAGGGTGTGAATAGCAGGAGTTAAGGATCACTGAGGTCATCTTGGAGGCTAGCTACTACAGTATTCCTTAAAGGAACAAGTGGCAGTAGCAGGAGAATGGAGGAAAGAAGAGAACAGAGAAAGGAAGGACAGGAGAGAAGGAAGTATGTTGATTCCCAAAAGCTGAGACCAGAGAAAAACAACGTACCCAGTTCTCTCCAGAGACTTCTCAGGTCTACCTTACACTGGCATACCTGAAACAAGTCCTGCTTCCTAGACAGGAACTCTAAATGAGTAGCTAAAAGACAGGAAGGCATGAGAAAGCTCCTTTCGGTCCCAGAAAGCAAAACTATCCTCCCTCCCTCCTTGCCCACCCCACCTTTTCTAAAGCAATGATGGAACAGTTACCTGAGGATGAATCTGTGGCTTGTCGCACGTGGCCTCAAAGTCCAGCACTAAAAAGTAGTGATACCTCTGGGGAGGGAAGGACACCATTGCCGCCATGGATGCGCCAAAGCCGTGGGCCGCCAGCTTTCTGGTGGATATGGAGCAGAACTCCGGAACACCACAGGGAGAAAATAAGTGGGAGCCCAGCACTTTTCTTGCTCTTGAAAGTAAATACGAAGAAAATCGAGCTGCTCCAGTCTGTAAAGGTGCTAGCATTGAACATCCAGAAGCATCTAAAACTTAGGGGAGGAAAGTTTAAAAAAAAAAAAAAAAGAAAGAAAAAAAAAAAAGAACAGAGAGCCTGGGTTACTCCCTCCCTCTGTGGCCCTGTTCCATCTAGTCTTCAGGAATATCCACGCAACATGGGCCACTCCCCAGTGTTTCTGGGCCCCTTTTCTAAATCATAGTATTCGTTACTGAAGTTCAAGACCCTAATAGCAGCACCTGCAGCATTATTACAGCTCTGAGTCTCCCAGATCATTCTCAAAACAACATGCAACACGGGCCTTCATCTTTAAATGGAGCTCTAAAGTTCAAAAGAGAGAAAAGAGAAAAATTGTGCAGTCACTTCTCAGGTGGCAACAGTTAACATTAAAGCTATGGGCCCAAAGTAACATGAGGTGACCCTGTTGTACAATCAGTCCTGGAAGCTAAGTAGACTCAGACAAGCAGCAGAAAATGTCCAAGGCTCTTTTCTCAGCTCCACTAGGAGCCATTTGCCCTTGGCTTTCCAGTCTGTATCTTGATGTCTCCACATACCCTCCTCCCCTCTCCCAAGGTGAAGGCAAACAAAGCAAATCACAGGGGAGTTTTCTCCCAACATTCTGGTGATCCCCCAGCCCCCACACTAGTAAGTGGCACCCTGGGGGAATGAACAGTGCCTGGAGAGCACAGCTGGTAACAGCCTTAGGCCTTCTCATTTGCTGCCTTAGACTCAGTCTCTACTAGAGGCCCTGAATGACTGCGGGACTTTTTAAATAGGGAAGAAAAAGAAAACCCAGATGTGGCAGTAATAGGAGCATGGCTAAAAGTCTAGTAAAGTTTTCTGAGTTACATGTGCAAAAAAAAAAGAGGAATCACTTTTCCTTTAAGTTTTCCCCTTAAATTTGCAGAATGCCTGCTCCTCAGAGGCCTAACCAAATATAAAAATCAAAGCCTAAGTTTTACTCGTGAATAACTCAAACTTCCTTAAAAAGAAAGAAGGAACAAAGCAGAAATGTTGTCTTTCTCCCTTTAATACCCAACATTCAAATTTCTCTCAACTTTAATCCTCAAATAAGAAATCTCACTGTACAATACAGTAATGGCCATAGTTTGTGCTTTCTGAAGCCCCATTCCAACACAGCCAAAGGCTTGCCTCTGATGGCTGCAAGTGGGCACCTGGCTCCCTTCACATAGGGTAGAGGGGATAGCACCCTGTGAAGTACAGCGCATACTCAAAAGCAATTAGGTCACTACCTGAACAGAAGCAGATAATGCCAAGTATGGCTGTCTTCCCATCTCTCTCCTGACTCACTGAATGAGCTACAGTAACTTGCCTATATATTTACTAGGATATACGCTAGCATAGCTCCTCGATTTCCCTATCCCTATAATGAGATTTCAGGGGGATTCAGTGGAGCTAACACCAAAAAATATTTTAAGTTCTTTGTGGATCCTGCACAAGCACAGCACTTGTTTTCACCACTGCTTTATAGCCTCACCAAAAATACAGCCAAAACTCAGCCCCAGTAGACAAACGCCAGCTTGAGTTTCACTATGGAGTTTCCTGGAAAGGCAAGAGGGCCAATATCCTTTTGAAAGCCAGAATCTTCTCATCACCTATTTCTGAACCGTACTGGAAGCCTTGATGAGATAGGAGACACCGGTCTGCTCAAATTACCCATTCTAGTTTGGATTCAAAGTGCCTCAAGGACTTAGACTCTTCTCTAACCCGATAAAAAAGTGTAAAGACTTCCGAAAGTCTTAATGTTCCACAATGTGCATAGAATATGCATTGTATGTACAGTCAGTCAGATCCTATCTACCAAATACGATAAGCAATTAAGCACGATGAGCAAGGAGGGCTTCCAAGTTTGAATCCTGGCTTTACCACTTACTACCCATGGCACCTTGGGCATGCTGTGTTCTTCAATTCCTCATCTGTAAAATGACAATAACTATAGCACCTACTCCTTAAGTGAGAATACCATCAGACAACACATGCAAAGCACTAAGAGCAGTGTCTGGCATATAAGGGCTTAATATATATTAGCCTAATGTTATTACTACTATCCTATTGGGCTATGCCTACCTGGCCAAGCCTGGATCCCCCAGATTCTGGGCCTACAAATCCAATTAATTCATAAGCCAGCCTCAGAGAGTAGTATCGATGTCTTCTGCAACCCTAAAATGCTCTAGACCTCTGACAGAGCATACTATACATACCCTATTCTGATGGCCAGTGGTTCTCTTGCCTGCAGGCCTTGCTTTTTCACCTGATTTCATCTACATTAAAAAGCTTCTTTTGGTCAAGCACAGTGACTGACACCTGTAATCCCAGCACTGTGGGAGGCTGAGGCAGAAGTATCGCTTGAGCCCAGGAGTTTGAAATCAGCCTGGGAAACACAGTGAGACCCCATCTCTACAAAAAAGAAATTAAAAATTAGCCAGGTGGGGTGGTGAATGCCTGTAGTCCCAGCTACTTGGCAGGCTGAAGTAGGAGGATCGCTTGAGCCCAGGAGGTTGAGGCTGCAGTGAGCTGTGATGACGCCACTGCACGCCAGTCTGGGTGACAGAGCAAGACCACAACTCAAAAACAAAACAAAACAAAAAAGCTTCTCTTGTAGGAAGTCTTGAGAGTAGACATTAGGAGGTCAGGCCTCCACATATCAGCAGTTACTGGATTCCACACTTCCCTTACTTCTAACAACCAAGTTCAGTTCAAGTCAAGAAACAGAGGGTAGCTCTTCCTCTTCCCTTCCTGAAAAACTCAATCCTAAAGCCATTAGGTGCAGCAGAAGAGGGCAGATATCTGTAACAGGTGGAGTAGGGTGAGCCAGAGAGGTCTGGGGGACACTGTCAGAGCCCAGGCAGGGTGAGGAAGACATCCTTGCAGAGGTGGGAAGGTGTGGTACAGCATGTCAGAACCAAGGGGGTGTGGAGAGCATCCATGTCGGCTGGCAGTCTGATGTGGGGTGACATAGGCAGGGTAAAAGAGGCACTCATGAGGCGTAAAGGGCAGTGGCAGTAACAGGAGATTAGCTACCTACAGAGGAACTGATCAAAGAAGTGCATATATTAAGGATAATGGGACCCGAGTTTCTCACTGTTACAGAAAGGACTTAAAATATGGAAAGGGAGAAAATCTGTGGTGTTGGGATTGGAATTGGCAGGAAGAATGTGAACTCATGGTTTCTGATTAGATGTATGTCAGATAGACAGATGGATACACACACACAAATATACATACATATGCAAATATATTTCTGTTTAAGGAAGAGCCAGGGAGCAGTAACAATGGCAATGAGCACACGTAGCACTCCATTGCCTTCTAGTTTTTTTTTAAGATAGGGTCTTGCTCTGTTGTCCAGGCTGCAGTGCAGTTGCACAATCACAGCTCACTGCAGCCTCGAACTCCCAGGCTCAGGCAATCTTCCCACCTCAGCCTCCCAAGTAGCTTGGACCACAGGCACATGCCACCACATCCAGCCAATACTTTTATTTTTTTGTAGAGATGAGAGTCTCACTATGTTGCCCAGGCTGGTCTCAAACTCCTGGGCTCAAGTGTTCTTCCCACCTTGGCATCCCAAAGTGCTGGGATTACAGGCATGAGCCACAGCACCCAGCCCCAGTTGCCTTCTAAATACCATTCTCCACTAAAAGAAACAGAGGTCCTTGAAGAAATGGCTGATTCCAGGGATGCAGCAAGAGAAATACAAGATAAGCCCATAACATCTTGTACCACAAAGCAAGGAAACACCCAAAGAATGATGGGAACATACCAAAAGGATACAGAAGCCACCTACTGGCCAAGAAACAATGATAGTAATGGATTATAATGCACTGAATAGAAAACCATGAGTCCATAAAGATATAAATCAATAAATTAAACTTTGATGTGAGATATTTACATAGTTTCAAAGTATCCCCCCTACGAAATACTTATTAATTACAACGAGGAGTAATTTTATGATGGAGAAGCCTGGCAGACATCACCTTAATCAAGTGATCAAAGCGAACATTATCAATAATGGGATAAATCAAAATCATGTAACGAAAAGAACAAAGCATCATTTCTGATACATTCCTGAAGATACACAACCTAAATCTAATCATGATAAAATGTCATACAAACCCTAATTGAGAGACAATCTAAACAATAACCAACCTATAATCTTCAAAAGTATCAAGGTCATGAATGCCAAGGAACGTTTACTGAGGAAAGTCTAAAGGAGACTAAAGAGACTTGATAACCAAATGCAACCCACAATTCTGAACTGGATCATTTTGCTGCAAAGAACATTCCTAGGACAACTGGCAAAACTTTAATGGGGTCCGAGGATTATATAGAGGTTTTTTATCAATGTTAATTTCCTGATTTTGATGGTTGTATTGTGACTAGGTAGGAAAATGTCCTTGTTTATAGGAAATGCACACCAAGTATTCAGGGTGATGGGGTATTAGGTCGGCAATTTAACCCTCAAATGGTTCAGGGAAAAAATTCCTTCTACTGTACTTACAACTTTTAAGTAAATTTGGGCTGTTTCAAATTGTTTTTCAAAATTGCTTTTTAAAATCAGCTGGGTGGGGTGGGGTGGCTCACACCTGTAATCCCAGCAGTCTGGGAGGCCAAGGCAGGCAGATCGCTTGAGGTCAGGAGTTCAAGACCAGCCTGGGCAACATGGCAAAACCCCATCTCTCCTAAAATTACAAAAATTAGCCAGGCATGGTAGCACACGCCTGTAATCCAGCTACTCAGGAGGCTGAGGCAGGAGAATCGCTTGAACTCAGGAGGCAGAGTTTGCAGTGAGCTGAGATCACATCACTACACTCCAGCCTGGGTGACAGAGACTCTGTCTCAATAAATAAATTAATTAAATTATTTTTTTTAAATCCATGTGCAATGCAGTTAACATTTTTAAATTAAAAATATCACACAGACAGTATTTGAAGGGAGAGATCTCCCTGTAATGCCCACAGAAGGTAGGCTGCATGTTCTCTCTGGCAGAGAGGCTCAAAGCATCTCTCAGCCCAAACA